ATAAGAGCTGGACTTCAACTCCCAGAACCCCCCAGTCACCAGAGGTGATTTTCAACTCCCAGAATCCCCCAGTTAGCACACCCCAGGGCCCTCTGGGGAGGAAACGAGTGCCAAAGAAGCCAAGGTCGTACCTATATACCTGTGTCATAACCCCACCCGCCCTCAAAATTCCCTTTTAAAAGCCCCCTCCCCGATTTTCCTCACGCCTCCGGATGAGGGTCAGCCTGCCCAGGAAAGCCCACCTTGCGAGAGAAGTGATCAAAGATGTTGCACCCGTGCGTGTTCAGGATGGCGATGGCTTGAGCGAAATGGTGTCTCTGAGGCCAACAAAACACAACAAGGGAGAGACGTCAGCGAGTACGTTGCGGAACGGCACCCGGAAGTCGGCCATTTTGTGCAAGCGCCCACGGGGCTGTGCAGGAGCACGAGGGGGGGGCACACAGGCTAAGCTCATCTTCATCATCCTCATCCTCATCATCATTGGTCCTCTGACTTACAACCGTCGCAGCATTCCCCCCCCCGCCCCCCCATTTTGGTCACCCGATCAAAAATTCCTTTACCTCCATCACGGATCCTTCGGAGCTGTACAGAGCTGCCAGGACGGATTTCTGGAAGGGGGAGAACGGAGGTGGCTTTCACCGGAGAGGTTGGGTAGGGGGTGAAGGAGACCCTCCCCCAAGGCGGGGGGGGCAGATGAGCAGGAAGAGAGCAAACCTTGCCCCGGGGGGGGGGGAGAGGCCCCGCAGGCCGCGCGGGCCGGGTCCCCCGGCTTGAGCAGGGGGGGGGGAGGGGGGGGGAGGGGGGGGGCTGGACTAGAAGACCTCCAAGGTCCCTTCCGGCTCTAGTCTGTTCTGTTCTACTTCAGTTCTGTTCTGTTCTTTATTCTCTCCTCTCCTCTCTTCTTCATTCCGACATTCTATTCTATTCTATTCTATTCTATTCTATTCTATTCTATTCTATTCTATTCTATTCTATTCTATTCTATTCTATTCTGTTCTATTCTATTCTTTATTCCAATATTCTATTCTATTCTATTCTATTCTATTCTATTCTATTCTATTCTA